TCATCCTCACAATGCATTTATTGTTGTGATATTCTTTTCATGAAAAAGACGAGTACCTCTATTTTACTTTTGAAAAAAAAAAAGAAGAAAACTTGACGAAACTTCTAACTTACGACGGTTATTTATTTTTTTTCTCTTTCGTCGCGTTAAGTGGGACCACTTAAATTAGTTCGATCGTACGCGTTTGTTTTGTCGTTTATTATGTTTGACATTAGTTAGGATTCTTTTTCTTCCTGTTTATACCACTCGACAATATTCGTTCGAATAATTAAACGTTTCTTTCGAAATTATTTATCCTAGTTTGCATTATCCATTTTTTTAGGCATTAATAATAGCACGTGTAAAGCAGTAAACAAAAAGTGTACTTCCTTCAAAATCAGATATTATCAAAATCATATTAAACAAATTATTTGACTCGAAAATAATTATATAATTTATTTATTTGATTGATATAAGTTAGAATGTTTCTTGGACTTAACATTGGCTTCATATATGTGCTCATAATTATGAAAGTGGTCTAAGAGTTATATATCTCTTATTTTGAGATATTTAAAGGATTACATTTGAAAATTAAAAATGAATTCTATATAATATTGAAATAACAAACACTATCTAACGGTTTATTTTTGACAATATCGTGAAAATTATATTGAATTAATTTAGTTTCAAATAATGTGGTTTGAAATAACTAATAATGTCATTTCTTTTTAAATTTTGACTTACAATTAGACCACTTTCATAATTATGGTTACATATATGAAACTTATGTTAAGTCCCAGAAATACTCTAATTTATATCAATCAAATAAATAAATTATATAATTATTTAAATAATTATATAATTTATTTATTTGATTGATATAAATTAGAGTATTTCTGGGACTTAACATAAGTTTCATATATGTAACCATAATTATGAAAGTGGTCTAATTGTAAGTCAAAATTTAAAAAGAAATGACATTATTAGTTATTTCAAACCACATTATTTGAAACTAAATTAATTCAATATAATTTTCACGATATTGTCAAAAATAAACCGTTAGATAGTGTTTGTTATTTCAATATTATATAGAATTCATTTTTAATTTTCAAATGTAATCCTTTAAATATCTCAAAATAAGAGATATATAACTCTTAGACCACTTTCATAATTATGAGCACATATATGAAGCCAATGTTAAGTCCAAGAAACATTCTAACTTATATCAATCAAATAAATAAATTATATAATTATTTTCGAGTCAAATAATTTGTTTAATATGATTTTGATAATATCTGATTTTGAAGGAAGTACACTTTTTGTTTACTGCTTTACACGTGCTATTATTAATGCCTAAAAAAATGGATAATGCAAACTAGGATAAATAATTTCGAAAGAAACGTTTAATTATTCGAACGAATATTGTCGAGTGGTATAAACAGGAAGAAAAAGAATCCTAACTAATGTCAAACATAATAAACGACAAAACAAACGCGTACGATCGAACTAATTTAAGTGGTCCCACTTAACGCGACGAAAGAGAAAAAAAATAAATAACCGTCGTAAGTTAGAAGTTTCGTCAAGTTTTCTTCTTTTTTTTTTTCAAAAGTAAAATAGAGGTACTCGTCTTTTTCATGAAAAGAATATCACAACAATAAATGCATTGTGAGGATGAATTTTTAAGCGGTAGCCAATAATCGTTAAAGGGCCGAGAGAGGATAAGGGAGAACGAAGAAACTTAACAGGGTTGACACACGTCAGAAATCTATCTAGAGGAATGCGTTATATTTGCGGTATACGTCAATCAAAATGCGGTCAAATGGTATGGCGACACTCGATGTCAAACGGAAAGCCGGATTTTGTCGTTTGACTGACAGTCTCTCTCTCTTTCTCTCTCTCTGTCTCTCTCTCTCTTTCTCTTTTTTTCTTTCTTTCTTTCTTTCCTTCTTTTTTTTAGGCCCGTTCAACTTTTATCGCAAGGGCCCTTCTTTCTTAACCGCGACGTTTTTTTTTTTCATTCATTCGTACGAGACACGTTTTGTCGCCAGGCTGTGTCGTAGACTTCTTTTCGATATAAGCTTTAGAAACTTTATATTAAACGTCATATCATATCGTTTTTTAATATCTAATAATAATCGCATAATTATTCCTCTTTAGTTTTATTCCTAATCTCGAATAATTTTTCTTTTTATTAATTTATAATACGCACACGTAGTGTGCATACGTTTATATTAACATTTTAAAATTGATCAATTGTTTTTTTAAATAATAATATTATTATTATACCATAATTTATTTATTTATTTATATTAAATGAATGAAAATATATATACGTTTTGGTGATTTACATTTTACGCAATATGCGTGAACTTATATTAACAAAATAAAAATAAAAAAGAGAGCAAATATTTTTGATACGTTTACGATTATTTTTAAGTTTGTTTTATTAGAAAAAAAAAAAGGAAGATACTCGTATTATCTAACATACATAATGCAAAAAGAATATTTGATAAGTATTACACATCGACTATCCAATCTTTTTCTTCGTGTGATCGAATTACATAATTCCTATTAAAAAATCCCTATAGCAAGCTAAACAAGAAAAAAAAAAAATATAATAACAATTTTTTTGTACGATTTCTATTCGATAGTTCATGTTTTCGAATAATATGAAACATTAGGGTACTCTACAAAGGCAAGAAGAGGAAAACGTTCCGATGATGTCTTCCACGTAGGTATGTTTGTGACGTAACCGGTATTAGTGTATGTGTCGTTCGTTCGAAAAAAAAAAAGAAAAGAAGGGGGGGAATGATGACAAGGGTGTGGATGATAGAGGGGTTGGAAGGGGAAAGAGGGGTTAGAAGGGAGTAGGAGGAGCCGACGACACCACTGCTACTCGTGGGTCCGAGATGTCAGCTCGTTTCAACGTTGTGGACCCCTGACACCAAGTCTAACAAACCCCAGGGAACGAAAATATCCTGTGGCCAATCTCACTCGTTGAAATGTTTCTTCTCTCTGTTTCTCTTATTTTTTTCTTTCTTTTTTATCTTTCTCTCTCTCTTTCTATTTTTCTATCTTTATCCTCTATATGTGCGTGTGTGTGTGTATGTGTGTGTATCTCCTTGGTTATTTTGTTGAATTCGAATGTAAAGGGAAAAAGATAAGAATTTCATTATTGTGCAAGGTAGAAAATATAAAAAAATATAATATTAGTAATAATAGAAAAAGAGAGAGAAAGAACAAAAAAAAAGAGAAAAGAGACAAATAAAGAAAGAATTTTATAGAAATAAGGAGGAGAAGGTAAAATGGGATGAGGTAAAGATAAAGAGGAGTGCGAGAAAATAAATTGTAGGGAACTATCGTCGCCAGGAAGAAAATATATTCCTCTCTCTCTCTCTCTCTCTTTCTTTCTTTCTTTCTTTCTTTCTTTCTTACTTTCTTTCTTTCTTTCTTTCTTCTTACTCTCGTTGAATTCTTTCACGATTTCTTCGAGATTTATGCGAGCTGCAACTGACATGAACGACGAAAAGCGATGGAACTTGCTGCGTGAGGAAAGAAACGAGAAGAAGAAGAAGAAGAAGAAGAAGAAGTAGAAGTAGAAGTAGAAGGGAGAAGGTTTGAGAAAAGAAATAGAAAAAAAAGAAAGAAGTTGAACAAGGGCGGCAAGAGAGATAGACGAAAAGAAAAGAAAAAAGGGGAAAAGACAAGTTGTAGAAAAGTGAGAGAAAGAGAGAGAGAGAGAGAAATAAAGATGGGGTAAAAGAGTAAAATAAAGAAGGTGCTTTAATCGGGATTCGGTAAATCCAAGCACACAGCTCACCCGCATTGGGTTCCGTTTTATCCATTGGGTTTCACGCTGACTTTCAAATTATCAGGTTAAAGAGTTGAAACCGTGAGTTGTTTGGTCGATAGTATATATGTATAGTACATTTTATACGTCATATTATTTAATGGAACACTGATTTGCGTCAAGCTATTACCATCTCGCAAGGGATAAAAATCTAAATGAAAAAAAAGAAACGTGAAAAATACAAAATCTGATCTGAGTAAATTAGCCAATTCCCTGTGCACTCTACCTTCAGGTAGGTAGTGCAACGAATCAAATCGCGAAAAGGAAAGAATTCGCAGTGTGCGAGTATATCGGAATAGTCTCCTTTTTTTTTTATACGCATAAAATATATATACATACATATACATATATAATATAAGTAGATATATACATATATATATATATATAGACATTTACATATAATCAGTTCACGTATCTCAGTAAATTAGCTAATTCCCTGTGCTACGCCACTGTGTGCGGCGCATCAATTCGCGAAAAGGAAGAATTTGCTGTGTGCGAGTATTGGAATAGTCTCTTTTGGGTGCATAAGACATACATATATACTATACATATATATATTAGTATATAGACATTTATATATAATCAGTTCATATATCAAGCACCTAACAGGCAACGTAGCCTTACGCTTTACACCCAATCGCAAGTGGCGCAGACGCGCGAGTGCGTACTTACGTTGGCAGAAGCCAAAGTCCCCTTGGAGTGGCGCGAGACGGATATAATTGAAGGCGGAGGTAATTAACTCCCTCGTGGTACACACATCGGCAAGCGCTCACCGCATCGTTTTAATTACCGCTCTCTCGTCGCATTTCATCGGGCAGAAGCGCTTCCACCTCTAACCACCTCCCCTTCCACCCCCCAACCCTCCTTCCTACATTTCCTACATCCACCAATTCCTTCTTCTTCTCCTACACCTGTCCCTTCGTACGACATCCCCTCTTCCCCCTCTTCTTCCACGACCTTCGACAAATTCTATCATTACCCAAAACCCCCATCCCACCACCACCTTACTGCTACCCTTATCTTTCAATTTCTGCAATATTTCGATATATCAATTTAATTGTGTTTATTATTATTATTTAACATTGTTTGATTGAACCGATGATTATTATTAAAATGATATGATTATCTTCGTTATTAATGATTCAATTATTCGATGCCTGTTTTTGTTCAGGTTTCGTCCATTAACAGGGTATTGAGAAATTTGGCAGCACAAAAGGAACAAAGGCAACAACAACAACAACAGCAACAGGGTGTTGGTGGTGTTGGCGTTGGCGTTGGCGTTGGTGCTGGAAGTCCTGCCGAGAGTGTTTACGACAAACTCAGGCTACTAAACGGACAGACCACTGGCTGGCCAAGACCTAATCCTTGGTGAGTTATTAAAAGTTTTCTCTTCCTTGAAAAAACAATCATCTTTTAAAAACTTTCCGGTTTATCAATAATTATTACTTGTTGCTTATACATTATTTTATCTGCAACCTGAAAGTGTTGTGTTGTTAAGCCGTTTAAAACGTGAAAAATTTATTATTATCCAATTGTAAGTTTAAATAATATGATATTCTTGAAAGTAAAAAAAGAAAGCGAGGAAGGGTTCAAGAAAATAAAGAAGATTCGATTTTTAAGGTATCCGTCGGGCGCGGGAAGCCCTTTTCCAAGTCTTCAGCCTAGTCTGAGTCCGAGCCATTGCACAGCGCTACCGCCTGATCCCGCCGATATTCTCCACTCCAAAAAGGGTGAGTCTTCTTTCTCCTTTTTTTTCTTTCTTCTTCTTCTTCTTCTTCTTCCTCTCTTTCGTTTAGTTATCTTCCATCTTTTTTCTTTGTTGTTCTTTTATTCTTTTTCAACGTTATATTTTTAGAAATAATCGCAACAAACTTATCCCGATATCTCGTTAACGAGCAATCGTTTGTCTGAAAAAACAATTGTATTCAACATTAAAACAAGAAATATTCTTATCGAATCATTACAAAAGGATTTTTTTTAATCTCTTAACACAATAACACAATTAAATTATATTATTATTATTATTTTATTATTACAACAACAACAACAACAACAACAACAACAAAAGTACTATAATCATTCTATATGACAGATAATTTAAATTCAGATTTTATAGGTCCCCAAGCATTGGGTCGATTTTCGACCATCCAATAATTTATTGCAACACCTATGTATTTTCATCTACGTAGATATACGCATACGGTAAAATACATATGTACGTATATAGTAAATGAGGAAATACGAGTTGCGGGAAAGTAGGCGGGAAAGGGTCGTGGCGCGTATATAGAAGAGCGTTTTAATTAATTAATCTCCCAGCCGAAACAATACTAATATCAATGTGTAATTCCGTTGGTGGTACCGCGGCGGTTTACCGCATGCGTGTGCAGCGCTTTTCCGGTAATAATTGTAACGTTTAAGCGCGGAATAAGGGGGTGCGGAAAGAGAACCCGGAGAAAGAGAAAGAGAACGAGAACGAGAACGAGGGAGAGGGAGAAGGGTATGAGGAAGGGGAAAGCAGAGGGGGACCAAGGGGGTTGGTGTTGGGGAGAGGTGAGAGGACTACAGGGTGAGTATAGACAAACGTGGTTACGCTCGACCAACCGACCGGCCGACCGACGCGAAACTACAACCCCTTGTACACCTCACCAACCCAGTCAACCACCCACTCACCACCCACTATCCCTCTCTCTCTCTCTCTTTCTCTCTGTATTTTCTATCCCCCTTTTCGTCGCGCCTCGTTCCCTTTTGCCGTGACATCAAACGCACGATTTCTCTCTGACTATTTTTCCTCACGCTATATCGTACAACAACGTATAGAGAGAGAGAGAAAAAAAAGAGAGAGAGAGAGAGGGAGGAGGGTAGTGAGAGGTTGTGATTCATCGATCAGGTGAAAATCACGCGTCTGTCTATTATTTTGATATTATGTTGTTTAGAATTTGTTCATATATAACATATTCGTTTGATGTCTTGAAAATAATCCTTTTTTCACGTATATTTAAACGATACGATATATATATATATATAATTTTTTCTTAAAACAAATACATATCGATAATTAAATAATTCGTAACGTTAGATACATCAATAATACGTCATTAATCGTATTGTTATAAATTGATTTATTTGTAGTTATTTTTGAGAAAATACTCGTTACTCCGCGTTTACGATGAGAAAGAAAAATATTTGTCTTGTATATTTTCTTGTTTTGTTTCCCTTTCTTTTTTTCTTTTTCGGGGCAAGTAGATAGGAACACCAACGGAATGGCAAAGACAGGTCCTCTGATCTTCAGCTAGAACGTCATTTCGTATTCCATGTTGGTAGGAAGGGGCCACAATCAAATATGGTAACTGTTGCGAACGTTCAACCACACGCGGGCCCCCGGGGCCGGATTATCCGTAGATTTGAGCGCGGGGGTGCGCTTCCTACCGTTTATAGGATAACTCGTGTCAGGAGGGTTGTTTCTCTCTTCTGAACATGGTATACATATATATACATATATATATGTATATATATATCTCTCTCTTTCTCAGCTGTTCTCGATAGATGTTATCGAGAGAGAGAGAGAGAGAGAGAGGACCCAACCATGCCTCCGGCTAACAACCATGCTCTATTCCAACCCTTCGTACGAAAGCAAAGCGAAAGCAGATTACAACGCAATCATCGCACCACCTCTAGGCTCTTCTTTCGATTTCAAATACACACGTATAAATGTATATATATATTAAATATATATATATAGTCTTATATGATCTTCGTATGATCATCCCACCTCCAACCCACTCGCCACCACCCTCCTCGTGCAAATGAAAATAACTATATACACATAAATATATTGGTTTGCTCGAAAAATATTTGTGTACCGATTTATAAATATATAAATTCGGTATCGATAATTTTGAGATACGTTAACATATAGATTACAACGAGCGATATAAATTTTCCTAATCCGTAATTGTACGATTGCTCTAATAATTTTGTGCCGATTTAAACGAACAGATTGTACGTAGATTTTCAAATATCAATCGACACGAAATTTTTCTTGGCAAATCAAATTTGTATCCAAATTTATATATATATATATATATGTGTATAAACTTTACTAAAGATAATAATAAATAAAAAAATAAGTAATATAGAAATCTAGTGAGAGACGTTTCGTAGGAAAGAAGATGGTAGCCTTTTGGTAACAAAATCGCAATTCTCGTCAACGTCGTCGTCGTCGTCGTCGTCGTCGTCGTTGACGTCATCATCGTCACTGGGGTGTCTGGTGAGACCGATCCACAATGCGTCCCAGGGATGCATTGTGCCGGTTTGCACGAGACGAGACGATGCAACGGCATGTAGAAGAATTACACGCGAGGGAAAGAGAGAGAAAAAGAGAGGGAGAGAGAGAGAAAGGGTGCTGAGGACAGAAAAAAAACGAGAGAGAGAGAGAAAAAATTCAGCGAGCGTGGAAGAAGAAAGAAGAGTGGTGGGTGGGAAAGGGTTGGTTAGGTGGGGGTTGGAAGTTGGATTGGGAGGTTTTCGGGGGAGGGGGAAAGTAAAGGAGGAGCAGAGAAGGTTCCGCGCGTTGATCGAAACGAAAAAAAGGGGTTCGGGTCGTGCGACCATTGTTTTTTCACCTTCCAAACCCCGCACGGACGCCACGATGGTGAATGAAGAGAGGAAAAAAAAAGAAAAAAGAAAAAAGAAAAAGAGGACACGAGTCCGGAATTTCTTCCTAGGATTTCAATATCGCTGACATGCTCTACCCATGCAACCTCCACTACTACTCTTCCTCTTGTTCCTCTTCTTTCTCATTCTTGGTCCACCATTTTCTCATAGTACCAACCCTTTCCGATCTTTCATTTTATCTTAGAGTATGATCATGACAATTATGGTTAATAGAATTTAACGAACATTTTAAAAGAAGAATAAAAGATCATTCAGAATTGTTTCAATACGATATATAAATAATTAATCAGTTAACATATAATTAATATCATATAAATATTCAGTTTTCTTTTGATTCATAATTTAACTGTTTAAAATAAGGATTAAATTGTATCCGTATACTTATCTATTTTTAATTTACTATTACCGATATATATTATTTCGTTAATTCGAGTTCAATTATGGCATCTTTTACAGTTAACAATTTTGCGATTTAAAAAAATGAAGATTATTAAAATAATATCCTTAATCTTTCATTCAATATACCTATAATACCACATCTCTCTCTACATATATTTATTTATCTTACATATTAATCGAAGAAAAATTAAATAAAATAATATCAATTCGATATAGGATTTAGTTGAAAAGATTGTCGTATTCGAAAGGCGCATCGCCATTTCGTAAAGTACTTCGTCCTTCGATAGCTGCTACCTACCCTCTTCTTCTCTCTTTTTCATTCGTTTCTCTCACCGCCATCGTCGTCACGTCGTTCTCGTCGTATATATATATATATATAGAAAACGTTCGCTCCGTTGCAGCGTATTTGCCGATCGCTAGCTGAGATATAAAGGTAAAACAATATAATGGCCGCCCGCTGTGTTCGCTGCTATGGGATTCAGGGTGTACTGAGAGCATTATTGTCGACCTCTTTATCTGCTGCAACCGATCTCCGTCCATGTTTTTTTTTCCTCTCTCTCTCCCTCTCCCTCTTCTCTCTTTCTCTTTTTTTTCCCCTCTCTTTACTTTACCTTGCATTTCTCTTTACCCTCCTCTCTTTCTCTCTATCCTTATCTATCTCTTTCTCTTTTTTTTTTTTTTCTATTCTAGGTACACACACACACACACACATTCGTAACGATGCGAAAGCTTTTATCGTCGGCCAGGACAATGCACACTGTCGTCGTCGTCGTCAGATTCTTTCCTTGTCAAGGAACTTTCGAACGTTGTTCTTGTTAGTAAGCTTTTGCGCGTGATCATCTTCTTCGAACGGGAATCTTTCGACCAGTAAAATAAAAAAAAAAAGGAAAACAAAAAAAAAGAAGAACCTGGAGCAAAAGAGAGAGAGAGAGAGAGAGAGAGAAAACGTACGAGTATTAATGGTTCTTCGATATATCTGGCCGTGTACGTTTTTCAACGTACTATACCGATAAACGTTTTCCCGTCGGAAGGTTTATATAGATAGAGACCCTTCGAAAGAGTTCACCTCATGTGTATATCCTGTAGCAACGACATCGGGTTAATGGATGCACGTATAAGACCACGACCGATACTTCCGTGATGACTTTTTAAAGCAAGAAAGAAAGCACTGCCTTGCCAATAGAATCTCTCCCTCTCTCTCTCTCTCTCTCTATCTCTATCTATCTATCTATCTCTTTTTCTATTTCTTTTTTTTCTTCTCTTTTAACTTTCTAGTAAGCATACGATATAGAATATACATAAGCGAGGAGAGAACTTATTACACACACGTACACGTGTACACCACGTAGTACCACCTTATAGTAGTTTCGAAGCACTCGCAAAGTAATAGCACGCTTCCACCACGGTGGAAAGGTGGAGAAAAAAAAAAAAGAAAAAAGGGGGCGGCGGAGGCGGTGACACGAGAGAAAGAGATCGGAGTCTTGTAACGCGATAGTCGAAGATTTTTCTTCAGAACACAGCCTCCGCCGACCGACACGGATATCGGACTCGGATCGGATCGGCTCGGCTTCACTCGGCTCGGACGCGTTCACCGGCTTCACGTTCGTTCTATTTCAGGATCCTTCGGCTTCTCTCTCTCTCTCTCTCTCTCTCTCTTTCTCTTATACTCATATACAGGTACACACGTATATACTTTTTATCTCTCTGTTTTACTTAGAATACACCAGGGAAAATCTTGTAAATATTCTTGCTTATACAGAGAGTAGACATCGCCCACGTACGTGAAAAATAGTTAGAACGAGTGAGATAGATAGATGGAAATATAAAGTGTATTTGTGTGTATCTATGTGTTAGAATGAGAGAGAGTGAGTGAGTGCAGCAGATCGAGGAGAAACTCTATGCATTGGATTCGCAGGTCAGTGGGTTGTCGCGTCGCGTCACTCAACCCAGTGTCACACAGCCGCTCGATTTATCGTGTTCGTCAATCTACGAAGGCTGACCTCTCGTCGAGTGTCGAGTTACCACCGACCAACCACCATCCACTACACTACCATTACCACTACTATTACCAACATCATCATCATCATCGTCGTCGTCGTCATCATCGTCATGATCATCATCATCATCATAATCATCTCAACATCATCCGACTCTACCAACTTGAAACACACGTCGTCGTTGTCGCGTGTTGTCTCCTCTTTTTCTCTATCTCTCTCTCTCTCTCTATTTTTGTAATTTTCTTTTTTTTCTTTTCGTATCTATCTTTTTCCTTCCTTCACCTTCCTTCCCTACTACTACTACTACTACTCGCGTTCCTTTATCCTTTTTTATCGCTTTTTATTTACCCTCGTGTTATCTAAATATATACGTGTATGATGTATGTTACGATGGTATAAAACGTACGATATAAATCTTTGATAATAATAATAATAATAATATCGTCGTAAATTGTCTTTTCGTGTCGTCTCTGAAATAACAATTTTCTTTCTTTTTTATATCGGATTATTCGAATTATCGATCATTAATGGGGAAACGATTGATCGGGCTTTTTTTTAAAACGAATTTCTATAGGATTATTTTGATCTAATTTTATTCAAACAAAATTCATTTCTATTATTTTTTAACACGACCAATATATATTCTAATTAGATATTAGAAATGATACATAACTATGTTCTCTATCTCTCTCTCTCTCTTTCTTTTTCTTTTTTTTTTGTAGCATCCTTATAAAAAATTAAAAGGAAATAGAATTAATTTTTTCCAAAAAGTAAGAACTATTTTCGGGAAAATACAACGTTTAACGAAAGCGAGCTTTTCCAATCGCGATGAAACGTAATAATCGTTTCCGATCGATCGACCGTTCGTTTGCACCGGATTACGAAGGGTGGCCCACGAAGATAGGAAAACGAAACGCAAAAGCCGAGTTATATCTCTACCAACATACAACATGCATATATACATATATAAAATACACATATATATATATATATATATACATATGTATATCAAACGCAAGAGCGCATCGACGAGGAGAAGCTTTTGCGGTAGGCCACGTTGCAGCAAACG